AATGTAACATATTCTTGGGCAGGGGATTTAGCTCAGTGTTTCCGCTGCTCGACTCACAAGCACGAGGACCCAAGTTCAATCCCTGGTACCAAAAAAAAAAAAAAAAAGTAACATATTCTTGAGGAAAAAATAGACAACGAAGGCCAAAACTAATACAGCCTAGTTATTGGATTAATTGACAAGGACTTTAAGTCAACAACTATAATATACTTAACAAACTTAAACAAATACGTTTTTGTTCAGGATGATTGACTTGATTTGGTGGATCCTGACTATAACTGCACATTAGAATTACTTAACAATCATTTGTAAAATACCCATATGTGGGTTACTGTTCAAACTAATGGGATCAGATCCTCTGGGAAATGAAGCTTGGGTATCTGTATGTTTTTGAAGTTCTCCAGGTCACTCTGATGGATGAAGGTAGAAAATGGATGTCTTGACTATTATCACCCCGCTAGGAAGATTCCTTAGGCCAGAACTCAGCATAAATTACTGTGACCAGGCATGTGCAACCTGCTGCCTGTCTACCCTTTCCCTTTTTATGTTATAATAAAAATATTTTAAAAGAAAGGAAGTTTTGTTACTTTGATATACTAACTATATTATATTTTTATATGCAGTCCAAGACAATTCCTTGTCACTCAGTATGGCCCAGCTGAGCCACAAGGTTGGACACCCATGGACATCTAAAGGGTACCTTTAGATCAAATGCACATTCTGATATAATCACCATAGTCTGGAGGTCATCCATGAACTAAGACGTCACAGACTAAAAGGGCTCTGAGCCGAAATACCTCATCCAGTCCTTGCACTCTTGCAATGAGTTATTGAGTACCAAGGAAAAGGGCCAGGTGCTCACGGACCTGGGGACCTGGGAACCTGGGACTAGAACCCCATTGAGTTCGCTCTGTCCCCAAGTTTGTGAGTCTCTCTTTCCCTGACTCTATCAGGAAGATCAGGGTAAAGAAAGCCACTGTTTTGGGAAAAAGTACCCTCTGCCTCTCTTAGGGGCAAAGCAAGCAAGTGCAGACTGTCATCAGCTGTGCCAACTTTCTCTCTCTCTCTCTCTCTCTCTCTCTCTCTCTCTTGTTTGGGCCAACAAGCAGGCACACCTGTGCCCCAGCTCTGATCAGAGCTCCGAGACTGAGTGTGTGGCCTTATGCAATGCAGCTGTAGCCACAGCGCCTCTGTAGGTGCACCCCTCTGAGGGAGCTGGAAGGCTTAGCCTCTTAGTCATTGTAACCTGAACACGGACTCATCCCTGAATGTCCAGCCAAAATACACTAAGCCATCAGCAAATACCTCCCACACTTGTTCTTCCTCATCAGGCACCATCCTGATACCTTTTTAACTTGCCTGTGTCTCCCAACAACTCCAAGAGGAAGGTACTGTTGCCAATCAATTGAAGGTTCTTCTGCTCGATCCAAATGGAAATCATGAATGGGTAAAGTGCAGCTCTGCTAGTGGCCCTGATGGCACTGAATGAAACCAGATGATACAGCTGGCTGCTGGTCACTGCCACTGCACCACTGCTGGCTGCTGCTGGCGTGTGCCAGATGTCATTGGTCAACCCTCCTGGGTGGTGGTTTCTGTTGCTGATCTTCATTGGCTGCTGGCCTCTGGATTTCTTCAGGGTTAAGAGTCTGTAGTATTTATTGTTCTTTCTTTTGAAATGACCACTCTGTCCATACTATTCTGGATAAAATTCCTGAGTAAATTTGCAGGACCTTCTGAGCCCACACTACCAGAGAAATAAATCGTGAGCAGATTTACAGGACCACCAGAGTGAGTCTTTAACAGGACCAGTGCATAAGGAATAGGGGGAGATTAGTTAATATACCAAAGTGAGCCCTGTTGGACTAATTCTAGAAGGGTGGAGGCTGCTTATACAGCAGGTGCAGACCGGTGATTGGTCCCATTGTAGGCCTGTAATTGGTTCAAATTTGGGCCTGCTGATGGGCCTAAATGCATGTAAGTGATCCGTTCAAGAACGTAAGAGCTCTATAACAGGTACAGCTGTAGGGCAGAATTAATTGTGTGGATGGGGCAATGACCAAGAGCCATTTGGTTGACAGCTGTCACATCTCTGTACAAAATTCCAGGGCTGAAACTGGGGAATCTTTGGAGGGCTAGCTGTGTTCATTACAGCCTATGGGAGGATGGGGAGTTTGAGAATGTTGATAATGGGTCCAGATTCCTCTCTCTCCAATATTAGCTACGTTACCATGCCACCTTCCTTCTTCAGCAGCAGCAGTGTCAGTGGTGGGAGTGGGGAGAAGGTTACAGAGCTGACAGTTGAATTTTATTCCTGGAGAGAGGAGCTGCTAAATAACCAGGGAGAACATTGAAGCAAGTTGTCCCAGTCCATTGGAGGGGTGGGGGCAAAGGAAAGCGAAAGAGAGGGGTGCAACAACCTGCTGCTAAACCTTGTCTCCCTCTGGCCAGCAAAGGAAAAGGAGAGCACCAGGTGCTTCTTTATTTCAGTACACCACTCCAGTTTAGATGGGGAAACTGAGGCACAAGGAAGTCCCGTAACTTGACCAAGGCCACAGAAGCAATCAAAAGGGGAAGTCAGTGCCAGATGTGATGCAGGATCACAATTTCGAGCCCAGCCTGGACAACTTAAGAGCCTGTCTCAAAATTTAAAATTTTAAAAAAGCACTGGAGATGTAGCTTAGTGCAAAGGCCCTGGGTTCAGGCATTAGTACTGGAAAAAAAAAAAAAAGAGGGGTGGGTGTCAAGATTCAAGACCAGACAGTGGGCTCCAAAGTCCCTGCTCTTAACCATGAAATTACACAATGCCCTCAATTTCCTTATCTGGGAGCCCCCCTAAAAAAGAAAATAATATATATTGATGGTATTTAAACCTGTCCAGTAAAAACTGACTGAAAGGTGAGAGGTTGGATATTAAGCATAAACCTGCTTCCTATAATGTCACCTCAATTTGTCCTGATTTTACATGCACACTTCTGCAGAACTGCGCAGCTAAAAGGGATGGAAAATTTCCCAGCGTACTCATACTTCCTCCCTTTCAACAGCTAGAGCAGACAGTACTAGTCTCTGATGCTTTCTGCTCCAGGGACTATGCTCTGGGAACCACTGGCATAGAGTCTGACATTGTCCTGCTTCCCCTGGGGCTGGGTTTTAAGGCTGGAGAGGATACAAGAAGTAAAGGTGCCTGTCAGGTGGACCCTAACCATGGTACTTCCTTTGCCTTCCTGGAGCGAGGGTGAGCATTTTGGAATCCAGGTTGGCTCAGCTGCAGGCCTTCCTGTGGGGCAGTGGAATAGGCAGGCCCTGGTTCTACTCCCCCTTGCACCAGAGATGTGAACCTTTGAACTCTGGCTTATTCAGCTCCATAATTGTCCTTATTAAAGGAAGTAAAATGTTCTTATCAACAGCATTTTTTTTTTCTTTTTGGTACCAGGAATCAAACTCAAGTTGCTGCACTTACGAGGCAGGTGGTGGAACCACTGAGCTAAATCCCTGGCCCTCAACAGCCATTTTTCTGCTTTATTTATTTCTCAGTGTTTTCTAAGAATGCATCCTACCAAACAGAGGGCTCAGTTTTGAGTGTTGCTAATGAGGTTGGAAATCAAAACTGGAAGGTGAGGATAAAATGAACTGAAGCGCTCTGAATGCAATCTAGTGCCAATCTAGGAGGGAGGAGTCAGGAGCTAGTGAGTTGAAATTACTTGGGGAGAAGAAAGAGAGGGAAAAAAACCCACATCCTGCCCTATCCCAGGCCACCCACTGGCCTGCTGTCGAGGAAGGGTGTATAGACAACGGAAACATCCAGAGGATTTTTTAATAGTTTGTTAAGAGATCTGTATGCAGTGTTCATTCCTTTCATCACCCTGATGTAATGTTCAGTAAAATTTACATTGCTTCTTAGTATCTGATGTGAGTGGATTCCTTAGACAACTCAGAGGTGACGAATTCTACATCGGATGCTGAATGATCCCAGAGACAGCACCTACAGAAGGTAGAGCTGGAGCCAAGGGCACGAATGATCTTGGGTTTACCTTGTTCAGAGCCAATAATTCTTGCCTAACCCCAATTCCTCAGGCCTCCAGAGCGCACAGATAGCAGTACCTGTCCTTCCATCCTTGCCTCGTTCACAGTTGCAAGAAGATTGAATTTTTGGTGTGTGTAGAGAAATAAGATGTATTTTCCTTCCTAGAAAAGATGAGAGGGGGCTCTCCTGGGAAGAAGGAGGAGGGTGTGGTAGGAGCAATCCATCCTCTGGAGAAAAGGTTAGCTACATCACTGCCACCAGGGGAACAGACTTGCGGATGCCCAGGCTGAGACAGACAGCACAGCAGCTGTGCCCAGTGGGGCCAGCAGGAGCGGGGGGCCCTGTGTTGCCATAGAGGGTGCTGAGGGAGGCAGAAGAATGGCAGTGGATGGGTGATGAGCTTCTTCTTCTGTGGTGGGCATTGATTCCTTGGCGATTTCAGGTGATCTGGGGTCTAGTGCAACAAATGCTGGAAATCTCACTGTCTCTGTGCTGTTGCTGAAGAACAATTCAGCCTTTTTGGCAGGAGAGAGGTTCTTGGGAAAGGATAGCAGATGAAAAGCCTGGTAACAGCACAACCCAGAGGACCCAGATGAAAAAAGTTCTAAGGACAGCATGGGATGGTCACAGGGTCCATTCCTTGGTGATGGTTGGAGCAGTGCACTGGGGCAGATAGGGGCTGATCTTTCCTTTCTCCACTTCTTCCTCATGCTGTCTTTTGTTCCTGGCTGGCTACCAGGTGTGTGGCCTCAGAAACAGGAGCCTTAGGTCCTCTTTGCAAGAGACGGCTCTAGGCTGTCTCTAGACACCCAGCTGTTTCCTCCCTGGCCACCACACCCAAAGCAGCAGCAGAGACAGCAGCTGATGATAAGGGCAGGATAGCCACAAGGAGCCAACAGCAGCTTGTGATTTCCGATTCAGTTAGGCAGAAGCTGATAAGCAGAGGGAGCTGCTCAGGAGGGCCATACTACTTGGCCACTGCTGGAGCTTGAACCGGCAGAGGCTAAAGTTGTGATCCTTTATCGTATCCTCAGCTTATTCAGTTCATTCATTATTCCATGCATCCATTCATTCATTTGCTTTATTTGATGAGCTGAGTATTCCCTTAATATTCTCTTAACCCATGACGGAGAGCATAATGAGTAAGCCCTGGCCGCTGATTGCCCAAAACTTATCAACAGGACAGAGGCGATACCAGGAAGGTATGTGATCTAAGAACTCCAATGCAGATGCAAGATGGAGTGTGATTCCAGTCCCAGGAGGGGACAGAAAAGAGAGAGAGAGCTACATGAGGGAGGTGAATGGTGCAGTAAATGACTTGCATTTCTGGCCTTTTTTTTTTTTTTCTTCAGATGGGTTCTTCTGCAAAATAAGAGGTCAGAATGAGTGCAGTCAAGGCCCCACAGAAAAAGGTCCGTGACTTTAGAGCCCCGGAGTACTTTGGTGGCGAGTGACAGGAACCCAACTCAAATAGGCTTAAATTGAAAAAAGATGGGGAATTTATAGCATCATATACTTGATTGGTTCAAGAGCAGATTAGGTGTCAGGGTTTCAGGCATAGCTGAATCCAGACATCCAAATCAGGCTTTCTGCAGACTCTCTCTTCAGACCCATTTGCTTATTAGGGCCAGGATGAAAATGTTGAGTCTTAACCTTTTCAAAGTTCTAGACATGTTTTGGCAACAGCCCCATCTTCCATTTGATCTGCTTTCCCCAGCTCCACTGTTCTGCCCAGAGCTTTTCTTCCTGCCTTTTTTTACTTCTTTTGCTGCTCTTCTCTGCTAGGTGAAGGTTGACAAAGGGTGAGCTTGGGGAAGCTTTGGGAAGAGAACCCTACAGCCTGGATTGTTATACTACAATACTTCCTGGAAGAGCCAGAGTGAGGGGCTAAAACACAAGGTTGGAGGTTAAAAAGAGACTGGACCATGAAGGGCCTTCCAAGTAACACTAAGAAGTTTAGCCACTCTCTTGAAAGTAATAGGGAGCCATTGAAGGTTATAGCACGTGTGTATATGGATTTGCATTTCACTGTCAGAAAGAGCCTCTGCCGTGGAAGGGAGCAGGACTGGTGGAGCCAGTGGGCTGTTGCAGTGTTTCAGGAGAAAACCACAATAGCCTTATGAGCCAGTGACAGCCACAGGGATGGAAAAACGTAGAAAATTCATGAAATATTGACAGGACTTGGTGCAGTTTAGATACAATAGGTAAAGAAGTGGGAAGTTTCTGTTTTGAGGGGCGAAACAGAGTGGCGTATCTGGGGGGAAATGATGAGCTTGGTTTGTGTTTCTTGGGTCAGAGGTGCTTGAGGGACATCTGGCTGATGATGTCTGTGGGGGAGGGTGGGCAGGTCTCGGGCTCACAGAAGTGGAGAGAGGTCAGGGCTTCTGTGCTCCATCATGTCAGCACCGGGGTGGTGCCTGAGGAGGTGCCCCATCCTGCCTGCTGGGCTTGGTTGCACCACATCGGAATACAGAACTTCCAGTGACTCAGGGTGACCACAGAGACCTCTTCAGAAAGCAGCCTCGCAGCAGGACATGTCTGGGAGGAGTTTTGAGGGCGAGGGGAAGGGGAAGGAAGGGGAGGGACAGCACTGGCCTGTGAAACACTGAGCTCTTCTTTGCAGATCTGGAGCCAACAGCCAGGCCTGAGGACCCTTGTTGGGCTCCTCCCACACATCTGACCCCTTGGGCTGCTGGCCTTGCAGGACAGGACTGTGGGGGAGCTCATCCGCCAGAAGATTCGGGGAGCTGAAGAGCTGTAGTCAAGCCAAGGTATGTGCTGGGTGGGTGTTGTTCTCTGGGGAAGGAGCCAGGAGAGATCTGAGCAAAGCAGAGAACGCACTGCGGAGAGAGGCTGGGAAGGAGGGACACTGGAGCGAGAGCCCCAGAGGAGCCAGGACACCCTTGCCTCTTAGGAATCCAGGTCTCTGGCTGCTGGAACCCGCCTTTCTGAGCAGGGTTACCCAGATGCCCAGCTCCTAGGACCACTCTGCATGGTTAGGACCGCACAACCCATCCTCATACAACAAAAGGATGCAGCTCCGTGTAAGGGGCCCTCTCCTTTCTTCTCCTTCAACTCTATACATGCCAGTGCTATAAGACTGGTGACCCATGCCTCTGATGTAGCATACCCTCATCATCCCATTTGTTTTGGAAGTGCCCCGGGGTCCCCAGGGAGACAGGCTGTATGGTTGGAGTGGGACAGAGACGTTGCAGTGCCGGATCAGGAAGGGCCCTGGGGATTGTGGCACCTGAGCTGAGCCTTCAGGGAATGGAGGGCCTGGTGCGCCCAAATGAGGCAAGGGGAATTTCAGTGGAGGGGAACAGAGCACACAAACCCAGAGGCAGGAAAAGGGTGTGCAAGTCAGGACCAGGGACGGACAGCGAGAGGCCCCTTTTGGCTGTTACAGTATAGAATTTGGGGAGCACTCTCAGGTATGAGCCTGCCTACTCCTCCACTTAGCTCTAGGTGGTTTTCAAATATTGCCTCCTTTAGTCCTTGTAACAGCCCTCTGAGACAGATGCTGCTTTTAGATTTTGTTTAAAGATAGGGAAACTGAGGCACAAAGGTTTTAAGCAACTGGCCCAGGAAGCTCTAGCAACAAAGCAGATTGGAACCCAGGCAATGTAGCAGGGGATACTGTGCCACATCTGGCCTCTCACTAGGGCTTGCTCTGTGCCCCCACTACTCCCATGCTGTCTCCAGAGAGCTCCCTGGCTGGCATGAGGGACGGGAATGCTAGGATGTCCCCCTGCTGTCTGGCCCCTTGGATCCCACTGTGCTCCTGCCCCAGGGAACACTGCTTCCGCCACCAAGGGCTCCTTCCCTCCAGGTGTTTCCTTTCCAGCCAGGGGCTGAGGAAACCAAGGCCAGTCAGGAAAGCAGGGCTCTCCTCCCCCACCTCCAGCAATCTGTGAATCTGTGTGGGCCTCCTGGGGATGAGACTCAGCACTCTGCCTCTCACCGCGCTCTAAACCACTTGACTGGCAAGTCTGATCCATCCTGGAGCCCTGCAGTGAGGCCATTCTGTGGGAGGGAAAGAAAGGAGAGAACCTGTGAGGAGGTGAAAGAGTCAGATGACAAGTGACACAGACCATCTCCGTGCTGAGTAGTGGGCAGGACAGGAGGGAGGCCTATGTGCAGGCCCCACTGAAGCTCCCTGGCTTTTCTTCTCAGGATTGGCCCTGCAGGCATGGCCACAGGGACCCAGACATTTTGGGGTGTCTTTCTTTCTGAAGAGCTTCCCTGAGAGCAGGAAAGGGGCTCTGGGGAGGGCCGGGAACTGTCAGACCTGGATCCTTCTGAGCTGAGACAGGGATCCTGAGCCGGCCTTCTCCAGATCTACCTCCAACTCCTTTCTTCAGTTTTCATGTAGCCAGGAAGTTGTCCCCACACTGTGACATTCCAGGTACAGGTGTGAACAAGTGCCTATTCACTCTTTGGGCCTATTTTATCCACAAGGGAGTGACCTGCTGTGTATGCATCTGCCCTGAGGGACAGGTCATGGCTAATGTTCTCAATTTCAGGAAGGATGCTCTCTAAATCCCTGTTCATCCTGCCATTTCTTCATTTGTTTGTTTATCTTTTCTTTTCTTTTTTTT